TAAACCTTCGAGGCGCGAGGCCCTTCGGACCGTTAGGCATAGGCGGTGGCCCACGTCGTCCATGCCTTACGCCGCCCTTGGTCATAGAAATGATGTAATTTGGATATAAATTATTTATAAATACGTATGTTTACGTATTTATATACGTTAAATACGTTAAATACGTAATTATAACGTTAAATACGTTAAATATACGTAAGTTATATTTTTATTACGACGCAAAATATATTTAAGAGTTTACGACCACTGTGCCGGGTGAGACGTTGTTGAAACAAAAAAGTTATGCATTCCATCACGTACATAAACAGTGTCGTAATTCGCCAAGTGCAAATCAGCAAATTCGTAAAATTTTTGTTTATTTAGAACAATCCGGATAATCGAAAATCCGGTTAATGGAGGTCCGGATAATGGAGGTTCTACTGTATTTTCTCGCGCGCGTGGGATTGTGGGATCTCTCTTATGACTGGATCTAGTTTCGAGAACTCTCTCGAGTCGATCGCGATTGAACCTTGTTTTAGTCGAGATTGAAACGGTCGATGGAGGTTGCACTAGGCGAAGAGGGCTCTAGTTTAGTAGTGTTACAGAGTATAATACGTATATTTTAATATATTTTTTAAAAGAAGCAAAATCACTGAGAAATGTTACGAGTGTTTAACAACGGGTTCAGAAAACTTTGAAAATGTTAACAACGGATTCGGCCGAACCCGCTGAATATCACCACTGATCCTGGGTAGGCCGCTGAATATCGGTACGCTCGTTCCGATATTGCATATCTAGTTATGTAGATATAATCCACACATTATCTTTACAGACAATGACCAGTATTAGAAATTATGACAGCAATGTACTATATAAACTATTGTAGAATGCGAAATAATTTAATTAAATTTTATTGATATTTATTTGTTTATAAAAATATTCGTTGACGTCGATCATTCATGCGTTTTACATGTTATAGAGTAAAATATACTCTGACAGAAATTAAAAAGAATCTTCATAACGCAAATTTAAATAGAAGTAAATAAAATATATCATAAAAATAGGTGTATTTTTTAAATATTAATTTCTAATTATTAAAGTTTAATGGTCAATTTAAACTAATGGTAATTCATTAAAATTTTTTTAAACGATTTTTCTATCAAAAAACGAATAATATCATTTAAAACATTTGTACGTAATGTCTGCAAAGGAAAATAAATTTTTAAAAATTTCATCTAATAATATTCTCGACTGTTTTCGTTATGTTCAGTTTAGGTGCAATTAGGTTAGGGAAACTCTGTATTTTAGCCGAACGAGGGCGATGGGTATAGTCCTTTATCACGTGATCACCTTTTATTCGGTTAGCGTAAGAATGGAGACCGATTGTATACACGAGCGAAAAGAAAGAACGCCAACTTTCGACAATCATATCGTTGTAAAAATACATGAAATCCTAACGTTACGTACGTCAATATATAAAAACTGACGATAATTATCAGAAATCGAACAGTTTGGACAGGTAGGTCTCGATTTTAAAAGGACCCAGTAAGTGATAGAGCACAAAATGCAGATGTCGCTTTAAAGAACATAAATAGGGAAGAGGCGCCGTGGTTCATTTTAGTGGCAGGCGGTGCGTTGAGGTGGATAATTATATTTGCTGGGAAATGGCGACGGATGACGAGACGCGTGTGGCCGATAAAGGTCTTCCGAGAAGCGAAGAAGTGTCGTTTTTGAATATTCCGGACGACGTGGACGATTTCCATCGCCGCTATCAATCTCCTCTGACATCGAGATATGCCAGTCAGGAAATGGCTTACAACTTCAGCGACCATCGGAAATTCTCCACCTGGAGGCGACTCTGGGTCATTTTGGCCAAAGCCGAGCAGGTAAGCCCCAACCGGTTAAATTTTCCCTAATTCATTCCTTAGGCGTTGCGCGGCGCCCTGCCGAACCGTCTGGAGTGATGCTGGGGTTGGGTCCGCCGCCGTGGTGGTTCGGATGGCCTGGCAGTAAGGTATAATAGCTGATGCGAACAAGGCCATTGGGGCCCGAACAGTACCCTAGAGCAGTGTTTCGCAACCTTTTTCTATATGACTGAACACGGCACACTGAAATGTTATTCTCCTTAAAAACATATGATACTATTAATAAAATTACAATCCACTAACCTATTATTATTATTAAACAGACATCAACACCCGTGAGCAAATTTATTTTACATATAATTTCTTAGAATACATAATGCTTGGCTTGTAATAAAGAATAAATAGACATCGTCTTATTTCGTCAGTGCTGCGGCAGAGAATGAAATACAAGCAGAAGAAACACAACAACTGTGATAAACATATATAAATTAAACTTGAAATTAACAGAATATGTGAAAGTTCACGTCACACCTTTCACCATGTGATGGCACACCGATTGCAGGACACTGTCCTATAACGTGTCCATAAGACCAAAAACCTCCAAGCGTACCTGTAACTGTAATCCTTGGCAAGATTTATTATATAAATAACTTGTTCACTTTTTCATATTTGTATTTTATTAGCAAAAACTATCCAAAAAACAAACAATGCTTCGTATTTGCATAGAATTTTTTTCTGTAGGTTGCCAGATTTATGCCCTATGCTATGGGTGTAGTTTCATAAAGTTAGTTTTAAAGTAAATTTCTAAAATTATAGAATAATTTTTCATTTATTCTAATTTAATTTTAAATGACTTTTTAAAATATTTAAAATTTTTTAATGTATTGTGGTTGTTCATAATGAGTTGTAAGTCTGCAAATAAACGTTACAAATAGGAACACAAGAAGAAAAATGTATATGATTGAATATTCCTTTAATGCACTCTGAACACAGTTCTTTTATCTTGTTTTGTTACAAAGATCCAACTTAATGGGTTCCTTTACCCTATTATCCTAACAGGAAAATAGGTTGCTTCCTATTCTCGTACAAATACATATCACGTGCGCAACACAAAACCTTGATAACCGATTTAAAAACTAATCTTATGTCTAACTTAAAACTAATATAACAGGGAAACGTTTAGACTTAGGAAAGTATAAAGAGATAGATAGAGAGTACTTGGGTCCACGTTGATCAATCGATATCTTTGGGGAGGTGCCCTTTCACAGACGTGATCTTTTATTCTTCTTTACTGATTCAGCAATCTGTTCTCGAGGTTCTCTGATTCTTTCGGTTTTTCATAGTCCCTTGTGCTTCTTCCTCTCTAATCTCGACAATCCTCTCCTGTACCTGCCGTCTTCTTCCCACTTCTCTCTTTTCGAGCTTCACTCACTACACTGTATGTCTGTTCCTTTCAAGATCCAGCCAAAAAGTGTTCTCCTGTCTCCTTTCTTCTTGCCTCGGGCTACATTTTCTTTTGTTTATTTCCCCAAATTTGGAGAAACACTAATACCTTACTCCTTTGTTTCACTCTTTGTTCTAAGAAGGGGTAAAGCTTAGTTCACACTGAGCATGATTTGCTAGCGAAAGTGAAAAACAAAGTGAATAACAAGTCATGTTTGACCGGTTATTCGCTTTGTTTTTCGCTTTTGTTAGCGAATCATGCTCAGTGTGAACTAAGCTTAAGCCTCTCCCCTCAAGTAGTAATGGTCGACATGGAAAGTTCCCGAAGATAATAGAAAGTAGAAAAATAGAAATAAAATAAGGAATTGTGAACTATATACAAACTACAGTATGGCTGACAGCCACAGTATTAAATACTTGATTATAGAAATTAGGTATTCCCGTCACCGACGAACAAATTCGAGAAATGGAGAACTTTGTGGGCAAGATTGACTTTCAGCAGGCGGCTGAAGAAGAAAAACTGACCAGACACGATGTCATGGCTCACGTTCGTGTCTTCGGCAAGTGCTGTCCGGCAGCGGCTCCGATCATTCATCTTGGTGCCACATCTTGTTACGTCGGAGATAATACGGTTGGTTAAAATATAATTATTTTAAATATTTGCATTTGGTGACGTTGTTTTTATTCAAAACATTTTCTTTAATTCAGGATTTAATAATGATGAGAGATGGATTGAATATTTTGTTACCAAAAGTAAGTGTTCTGTTAATAATTCTATATAATTTTATAACATTTTAGAATTATTATATATAGGCCTATATATATATATAATATAAAATCAGTATTATATTAGAAAACTTCCAAAACTCTAATCCAATCTCAAATTTTAAGAAAACTTATTTTATAGGAGTGATATTAAATAAATACTCTTAAGTCTCTTCAGAGGTTTATGTACCTCTAAAGAAAAACATTAAATGTTAACAATGACCTATTTATAATTTATTTTGTATACTAGTACTTTCTATATATTAACAGGACTTATTATACTGGGAAATTATGGATGCAGATATTTAGTCTTACAGTTCAAAAATAATGTTCTTTATTTAGTTCACCTGAACACATACACCTCAAACACGTGTTTCGGACTTTTTCGTCCCTCCTCAGCAGGCCTTTAAACGACACTTTCTATAATTAACAACAATTCAAGTTAACAATGACCTTTTGAAGTAATTTAAGTTTGTGAAAGCAAGCAAGAGGCTTGGAAGCATATGCGTTCAAACATTTTGAAATTTCTCTCCGACCTAAGCAAAGATGTATCGTTTTAAGATGACTATAATATCGATTTTTCGTATAATACAGTTTTGCATATTGTTTTGAATACTCGATTACTTGACAGTCAATTTGATTGAAAATTGGGAAAATTCTGACAGTTTTCTGGGTTGGGAAGTAGTGGTGAAATCTTTGTCTTCTGATGCAGGCTGAATAGGATGTATAAAACTTTTCTCTTTTTAATAGTTTTTAGTTATTGCATTTATATAATTATAAAAATTTGGAACTGTAGTTATTCATAATTTAATATATGCACTGTTTAAAAAAGCTAATTTGTGGTGTTTGCTGAAAAAGTATAATAGAATTTATAGGCTGTAGGGAATGTCTGTACCGAGCATATCCAATAAGTTGATTCTTATTGACTGGCCGATTGCTGCACAGCTTTTGATAAATCGCAGATGATTTGGTCGGTTAAATATGAAAAAAATTTTTATTTTCTATGGGAATATAAATTGTTTGGGACTGACAAACCGTAGCAATAGATATGGGCTGTTGGTGCCAAGTCGTACGAGATAATGTGGAGTTGTCTTTGTTTCTGATTGCAACGTGGAAAAAAGCATATGTAGCTATTGAATGAGAAACTCAAGGAATGGAACACATGCACTTTTGGTTGTATGGTGGTCTCTTCAAATTTAATTTGTTACAGAAGGCCATTTGAACTCTGGATTGTCTGAAATCCAAATCAATTTTTCCCATTAGAAATAATAGCAAAAGATTTAACCCATTTCTAGACCCTAAACAATTCCCATTTCAATAAACTTAAACAGAAAATATGCATAATTTAAGGTAAAAATATTATATATGGCATTTAATTGCATTAAAGTAAAACACAAACAATAAATAAAATACATAAATGCAATTCATTTCATTATACAGTATTATTTAAACTTACTATGCAACTTGCTTGGCTTTCTCACAAATAATACTCTTGGAGGTACTCTATCACCAGCCAATTGCTTCTCATTTACCCACATGGAAGTTTTTCCATCTCTGTAACATAATCTCCTAGAGGTCAGTTTTGTCATACTTTTAGCCATATTTGCTGCTTTTACTGCCTTCTTGTTGTTAAGAATGGCACACTCCATTGACTTTGGCATTTTAAATGTGGACACCAGATTCACCAAATGTATACAGCTTTCACGGTTTGCAATAAGTTCCTTTTTCATCACAATCATTGTTACTACAACCTTCTCCTTAGGCTCTTCACTTCCACTCTTCTTGGATGCAATGGTTAATGGATAGGGATTATATAATATATTGATATAACTTAACATGCCAACAAAAAAAGAAACCCAAAGAAGCATTGAAAACAGTATAATGCAATAATTACTTTTGCAGTGGGAGACAACTGACACAAAACAGTGTGTGTTTAAGCAGAAAATGTACTTTTTCACTGCGTGCACAGTTCAAAATGTAAAAGCATTGTTCAAATTCCTGGTTGAATTCCTTTTTAGAATTTGGCATTCAAACTCTGTACTTTGAACATTTCCGTGGTACCATACTTAGATGATATGACAATTTCTAAACTAACCACTGGAATGTAAAGTATCTTGCAATAAATGTAACTGTTTTACATCATAATTTTATAAGAGCAGATTAATAGACTTTTCATATAAAATAAAAATATGATGATAGATTGTGTGTACTTTTGAATCATATTCAACTAAGTTGGCCAAATCTGGTGTACACCATGTTTAAAATCCAAATAATTAAAAATTCAAATTTGTTAGAGTAATACTAGATAAAATATGTTGAAAGAAACAAAATAATTAAATATATACACCTTTGAATATATCTTTCTTATTAAATAGCTAAGTAACAGATTTAATGGACATATAAATAAAATAGTTTATGATGTATATTAAATTCTCACTCTTATACTTTTAATTTACTCTAAAGATACAATGCAAACTGAAAGTTGTGAGGTCAACATTGCTTAAATAAGATAAATTTATTATTACATAATTATTTTTATCAATATTTAAATTTTAAAAAATAGTTTAATAGAAAGATGAATTATTCTTTAACATATCTGTTACTTGCAAAATTGCTAAATTGTTTTACTACCTTTATTTTAATATTACTATTCTAATAGTACTAAAAATTCCTTTTTTTATCTGTTCTACAGTAAAGATGGCATTTGAAAGCAATTATTTATAATTTAAGTTTATTTCTTAACTTCTTTGATTAACATGCTAATGTTATTAAAATATTTAATGAAATATTTAATTATAAAACATAACATACTTTTTGTTTTATTCATGTAGTTAGCACGCTGCATCCACAAATTGGCAAAATTTGCTGAAGATTACAAGGACCTGCCAACTCTTTCCTATACACACTTTCAGTAGGAAATCTTTTATATAAAATGTTTATTTAATCAAACATTAATGTAAATATATAATTGGAATTTTTTTTTATTAGACCGGCTCAGCTGACGACGGTTGGCAAACGTACCTGTCTCTGGGTGTCCGACTTACTTGCCGATCTCAGAAACTTAACCAGGGTGCGCGACGAATTAAAATTCAGAGGCGTGAAGGGAACGACAGGAACTCAAGCTAGCTTTCTACAGTTATTCAATGGTGATGAAGCAAAAGTATGTAAGACATTTCTTATTACAGATTTTATAGGCCGTTCTTAATGTTTAAGTATAAAATTAAAACAGTACAAAATTTTGAAAACATGCAAATTTGTCATAAAAATGTTACCTAAACTGATTAGGTTATAAATATAACTAAACAAAATAATTTTTTATAATTTTGAAATCATGTAACAGATAAAAGATGTATTAAATTATGCAAAATCTGTAAATTGAGAAGCATCACAAAATTACAAATAGAGTATTTATTAAAAATAGAATTTTGCATTTTATCCAACAAAATGGATACATTTGATTTATGATAATTTCTAAGAAAAACAGTACAGCTGAAAATATTTAAAAAAAAAAGCTATTGAAGAATATTTCTGAATATACTTTTACAACTTGCTACATTTTTTAAATATCGTGAATTATTTGATTCGTTATATTAAGATTCACTGCAGGGATCCATCCTCTATCAAATGTTAATGAATTAAAATCATATTTTAATATTTTGTACTAGTAATTTAATTTTTTACTTATTAATTTTATTAAATAAAAATATGAACCTAATAAATTACAATGATCAAAGTAATTCATAATAATGCATTATATAAATTTTATTTCTTTTTAAGTTCAAGTTATAATCAGTAATACAGTATATATAATTCATTAAAAACAATAAAACAGTCAATGTGTTTCATAAATATCGTCATCATATATTGTAAAATAAAATAAATGTAAATAACCTTTTTAAAATTATTCTGAATGCTAAAAATATATTTTAAAAATTTCATAATCTAGACTTTTATTGAACTTAAAAGAAATAGAAGAGCCTTTTGAGAAAACACAAATAGGCTCCAGTGTTATGCCATATAAAAGAAATCCCATGCGATCGGAAAGATGATGTTCCTTGGCTCTACATCTAATGGATCTGGTCATGAATCCTTTGCATTCGGCTGCTAAAGAAAATAGAGAAATGAAACATTACAATATCAAAATTAAATATTTATCTATATTTGATTGATATAATCTTATTACATAAATATATTGAAAATATCAAATAAAATTCTTTAACCTGCCAAAAAATTCAATATTATACTCAATCTTTTTTGACATTACGTAAAATTGCAACGGTGTTAAAGATAAATTTAATTTTATTTGAATATTACATAAGTTTCATATTGTTTCCATATTTTTGAGAAAGTGAAATAAATTAGACATAAGTGTACATTATTCCAACAAAATGAATATTCAAGATAGCTTTCAATTCTGTCATTTGATATAATATGTCTTGATTCAAGATGTAAATTTTATATTAGATTAGAATTTATTTCATTGTACTTTCTCACTTGAAGTTTTATTTGTAATTTTTATTCTTCATCTTACCAGAAATATCTTATTGTCTTTATCTCGTGCTTGACTAGATATAGAATCAGTTACTCTACTTTTTTTTTCATTTCAATTACGAAATCCGTATCTATGAAATAATAACTGATTATTTTAAAAGTTTACTTTATACTTTATAAATTACAAGTTTTAAGATAATTTTACTCATTCAGGAATTTATTAGTGTTTAGAAGTAAAATTAAAATCGACAATATCAGAATTTCCTTTCAAATTTTCAACTAATATGAAATATGCACATCTTCAAAATTTGTAAAAAGTTTGTGTTTATGTTCTGGGCTGGTATACTTCTAGGAGTGAATAATTGTATTTAAAAACGTAGTAAGAAATCTTTTCTATTCTTGAAATGTGTTACCTTACCGGCTTCACTTTCAGTATACTATATTAATTTTTGACGTTGAGTTCCGAGCATTATTTGCTATTGGGACAAATGTGGACAGTCACACACTAATGTTATGCAATATGATATTTTATGATAAAATTGAATTAGAAGTAAAATGTCATTTTTTATTATACAGTACTTAAGTTTAAGATGAAAACATTCATTCATTTTCAATTGATAAATTTTTAGGTCAAAGAATTGGATATGCTTGTGACAAAAATGGCTGGATTCAAAAGGTATTAAATTATTTTAAGAATTTTATAAATGTTTTCTATAATATATGTATTTATTTAATTATATCATATAGTTGTTATAAAATATGCGGACAGACATACAGTCGAAAGATTGACGTAGAAGTCCTTTCTGCTCTGGCGGGTTTAGGTGCGTCAATTCACAAGGTAAATTGCCTTACTTAACAAGCTTTTTCTCAACGAATTTATCGATTTTATTAACGTATCAGTTTAAATAAATAAAATTAGTCAATACATCCTTGAACTTTGTTCCAATGAGAGATTTCCTCTACTTTTAATCATCCTAATCTCATTCTTTTATAATATATATATCAAACAAGTTAAAGACTTTGTCCAGTGATATCAAACAGCTTTAGAAATTTAAGTTATCTTATTTATAAATTACTTAATATAATTTTTAATGTGTGAACTGAAAAAAAAAAAAGAATTGCAAGGTTTATTAACTGAAATTGTATTAAATTATTAAAGTTTAATAAGATTTATTTTTGTTAATTTACTTGGAAGTAAATGATGATACTCTTGATGACCATTACATGATGATGGTACTTTTTTGTAATGAAATCATTATAATTCAAGTTTTTTGATGATAAAAATTATTCATTAAGATTTGTACAGATATTAGACTTTTATCGAACTTAAAAGAAGTAGAAGAGCCTTTTGAGAAAACACAAATAGGTTCCAGTGCTATGCCATATAAAAGAAATCCCATGCGATCCGAAAGATGTTGTTCCTTGGCTCGACATCTAATGGATCTGCTCGTGAATCCTTTGCATACGGCTGCTAATCAGTGGATGGAACGAACATTAGACGATAGCGCGAACAGGTATTCCACGTAATGATTTCGAACTACTCTCCGAAAAAAATTTAAGTAAATAACAAGACTAAATTTCAGGCGCATTACCCTACCAGAAGCATTTTTAACAGCAGACATCATATTGCATACCCTACAGAACATATCAGAGCGTCTCGATATACATCCTATGGTAATAGAGCGACACGTAAATCAGGAATTGCCGTTCATGGCAACAGAAAACGTTATTATGGCAATGGTTAAAGCCGGAGGAAATAGACAAGTAGGTACCGTTTTGTAAAAAGACAAATTCAATACGTAAATCTTGACTTAACGTTTGAAAATTCGCAGGACTGCCACGAAAAAATTAGAGTTCATTCGCATCAAGCCGCTGCGGTCGTGAAAGACGAAGGTAAAGATAACGACCTGGTGGAAAGAATCGAAAGGGATGCTTATTTTGCACCGATTCATAATGACCTGAAAAACCTTCTCGACCCAAAAACGTTCATCGGAAGAGCTCCAAATCAAGTAATTTCCAAGAAATAATAAAATATATATTTAATTCGCACCGTTTGAAAGTAAAAATATTTATTTTAAAAAATTAATTTTTTTTAGGTTAAAGAATTCTTGGAAGAGGAAGTGAAACCTGCTTTGAAACCATTTCAACGACTCTTAGATGCCCAAGCCGAATTAAATGTCTAAAATTGCACACAAAATTTCTTTTCACACGTTTTCTTACAATAAAATAATGCTTGAATATAAGAGAATAAATTTATAGTCTGGAATTCTATCAAATTTTGCTGTTTCTTCTTTGAATTTTCACTAGACTTTGAAATCCTAACAAATTAGAACATATTACTGATAAAGAATTCACACACACACACGCTTTTATAACTCTGCAATTTTTGTCCGATCCAGACGAAATTTTGGTTAAATTCGTCGGAAAATATAGGCTATTGCGGAAATAATAAGAGAGGTTGCGGCCGACATTTTCATCGCGTAAACGTGTACGTTGGACGTTCAGCGCCGCATTTCTGTAAGCTTAGAAGTTTGACAATGGCGTTTGGAACGTCGAGCATGATTCCACCGACGTTCCAAACGCCATTGTCAAACTTCTAGGCTTACAGGAAGGCGGCGCTGAACGTCCAACGTACACGTTTACGCGATGAAAACGTCGGCCGCAACCTCTATTAGCTATAGAATAAACGTTGTATCGATTTCGGATGGGTGATGGCACTGACATTGAACACGTGACGTTCACGCACGAAAAGCGAAATTTCCCTTACTTTGCATTTTTAAATATTTTGGCAAATGGCGTATTTTAAACCTACTTCATTAAATTTAAACTGTAAAAATGACAGCCTCATCGTGTCACTACTATAACAAATTTAAAAAAAAAAACTTTCCATAGTGACCAGGTGACGTTAGGGACGTAGCCACGGAGGGGCAGAGACACCTGGCTCATTTACTCAAACGAAAAATTATAGGTCAATAGGTTATAATAGTATTGCGCGGAAAGAAGTCGGCGTGTTCCGGCCGCGGTTCAAACATGTCTGTCGGTGACGGGAGCGCGTTCTGGTGAACGAGTGGGAAACCGCCAGTTCAAGGTCTGGATGGTCTGATTAGATTCGAAGATTACGTTCGAGGTTCGGATTTAGCGGGAAAGTTCTAGTACCTTCTGTTCCCTATTTAAGCACTGCAATCAGTGAGTGATTTGACGCATTTGAGCTCGTTCAGAACATACCGCCAGCGAGGTTTATTTGAAACGTCGTTGCGTCCATGTGCAATACTGGATTTCTTACGGCGTTTTAATTTAAGTGCTGTATTTACTTCTGTTGTATCAAAATTTAGCTTACAACATACAACTGATGGAAAGGAAAACATGTGCCAAATGCCGAACTGGAGGAGATGGAACTAGCTGCACTAGCTAAAGAAACGCAATTGTTCCATAACCCATCCATACAACGGGCGCTACTTATCTCACTTGCACAGCCGTGCACAATGTGCACTATCGAAAGATCCTTTTGGCCAGGCCAATAATTTATTTTAGTTACAGAATATTTTGATTAAATAATTAAGAATAATATGCATTTTAAAATCTCTTTTTTTGGTCTTTTAATCCTATCCATTGCGGGTTAAGAGTTAGGGCAAGTTCCACAACGGAGGCGACAATATCCGAACGGAACACCACCGAAAACTTCCTGGGGTTTTTCGATTCGTCCGGATTCGTTTCCTCGTCCCCATAGCGGTAGGCTCGCTTACTTTGTGGCAGACACTTAACCTTTTCAAACAAATATTGTTTCTTTTTACTGTTATTGTTTCTCATCCATACTACTACTATGCTAATCTTTCGGAGGTCTGAGTTCTTAATTAATTAATTAATTAATAATGTAAAAAATGTATGTTATCTTTAGTCTCTACAGTGGGGGCGTATCAATGAGATCTCGCACCACCTGAAAATCTTTCTAGAGCCTCCCCTGCCCCTAGGCTAGGGATGGGCAACCTTTTTCTATGTAAGGGCCGCATTTCAAAACTTTTGAACTGACGCGGGCTTCATACAAGAGAAAAGAGAAAAAATGCCGGTAAATCACAATTACAGTTGTCCCTCGATAGTCCGACGTTTTTTAATCCGACATGCTCAGTAGTCCGACGCACTTCCCGTCAAGATACCCGTCCCCGTTACGTGTCTGCTTGCACAGAAGCATGTCGCGATGTGAATCTCCCCATCCAATTCTTACTCGATGACACACATTTCGTGTGTTTTATGTGAGCAGTTCTGTTCGAACAGTTGGAGTAGAGAATATTGTAAGCTAATGCTAGCAAAACAATGCGAAATATGTAATTATTTTCGGTAATCCGGACACTTTTGGTAATCCGACACACCTTTGGTTGTCCCTCGATAATCCGACCTGTCGGATTATCGAGGGACAACTGTATTCATTTTATATAGCTTATAATTATAAATTAGCATAGGCATACTTAATTTAGCTCCTGGAACTGAGGTAAACGTAATATATCGGAAAATTAAATATTAGATGCTGCTAGTTTTTAAAGCGGAACGGATCCGGATGGATCAAAAACCCAACAAATTTTTCGGGAGACAATCTATGACGATGGATATATCTGACCGCCCGTCGTGGACCATAATGTCTTAATAAAAAGTCTCTCTGTTAGTGTCCATTGGGAGGAAGAAATTTTTAAGAAATCCTTACTGAACTCTTGCATAAGGGGGTCGATGCTATTAAATTTTCGTGGTTATAAGTCGAGGGGGTAAGGCGATAGAGCAGGATCGTGTGTCGTATCACGAGCGGCGTCGGACTTAGTTTTACTCGTTATTGACATTTAAAATCTTTACGAAAACTCTCTCTACCCTAAAAATTAAGCCCATTGCCTCTCTATAATTTATTTTTAAATAAAATCTTGTAACAGATGGCGCCATACAATTTTATTTTAAACAAGGTTACTTTAAGGTTATTTTAAACCGTGATAACTGGTGTTGTAAAATCTGTAATATGCCACTTTTTGCCAGTAGATGGCGTTTGGTCGTATTTAGCCCGTTTTCTGGCCGCGTTTCTTTATGCAGCGCTCGAGAAGCGCTTTACAGCGAACCCTCTGAAACCCGTTTCTAAATGCAGCGCTGCAATGTAGCGAACCGTTTCTAAACGTTTGCTGCAAGAGGTCGCTGCAGCGAAGATAAAGCAGCTTTTACGTCCGCTACACGTGTAAAGCAAAATGGACGCTTGTGTGTATAATACGATATTATGCTGTAAAAATAAAAAAGTCGAAGTGACTGTTGATAAAAATATTATGGAAAGATTAAGAAGGATTAAATTTTATGAAATGACTCTGAAAGTTATCTAAAGAATAAGAAAATACTATATTTTAAATATAATTATATATCTTTTATCTATTACTTTGTTCACATTTATGGAAAGATAAATGCTCGATTCTTTATATCTCTTTATTTAAATATTGTAGTTCTTTAACTAAAGCACTATTTTCGGCTGTAACTGGAATTAAAGGATAGATTATAAACGTCCATGTTTCGCTCGAGCGGAAAGCGTTTCTAAACTATGATGCAGCGACGTGTAGCGATAGCTGCTCGTGACGTCATTTACGCTGCACTCTCGCTGCATAAAGAAACGTAGCATCTCCTACCAGTGATGTATAACGTGCAACAAAATGTCCAGATGGCACAACGCGCTGATTGGTCAGATGAATGACGTCAACCCACCGAATTTAACTTGATCTTTATGCACCTCTGAACCCAATCGTACACAATAGATAATTTTAATAGTGTAATTATTTTTTTAAATTTAAATATATATGCACGGATAATAAATAACAGAAAATTTATACTTTGTTACAGATATTATTCATAAAAAGTTCAAGAAAGGATGATTTTCTTGAATTTGTCATATGCATTTAATATAGTTAGAATAGACATTTTGTGCTTTTGAATGTCAGTTCAAAATCTGTGTGTTAGGAAACAACACTTCAAATATATAGAAATTTCATATTCCATAATGGATATACAGTATCTGTAAATGTGTTTAATCAAATTTGTATGACCATTTTTCAAATTAAATGTATAGAATTCTTTTATAAATTATTGAACAATCAATAATACTGTAAGTATTTAAATTCCTTTCAATATAATAGTTGTATATGCTTTAAATAAGAAATTCCATACATTTCATCATAAAAATTGTTTATCAATATAAGTGTCGGGAAAAAGTAAAGTTGCATTTGTACTGTAGTTTTCATAGTAAACTGTTTTTTAACCGTTTTTTTTCTTAAAATAATACTAATGAATAACTATTTCTAGATGCCTTGTATGTGCTGTATACCTGGTTGCGTAAGAAAATATGAAGTGAAGTGATATCCAGTGTCTATATTTAAGTTTACACAGGATTTGATTTGAAAAACAAACCAATGGATTAGAGAATTTGTAGAAAAAATACTTATTATTTAAAATGTTTTAAAAATANTATATTTAAGTTTACACAGGATTTGATTTGAAAAACAAACCAATGGATTAGAGAATTTGTAGAAAAAATACTTATTATTTAAAATGTTTTAAAAATATACAAAGCATTGGCGACATATACAAGCAAAACTACTGTTTTACTTGGTTTAACATTAACAATTCCAATCAGATTCGTGGGAAACAGGTCTGCATCTGTTTCGACACCAGGTCGCTCTCTGTAGCATAAGCAACAAAGCCTAGCTTAACCATCTCCCCCAACTCATCATGGACGAACTCAACAATAACCAAAGCAACCTCATTTACTTTTCCTGGACCCGCGCCCATCAACGTGTAACAGGAAATGAGGAATCAGATGTGTTGGCAAAGGAGGCAGCCGCTTCTCCAGCCACACCAAGCTTCGATGACATCCCAACCGTTGCTATCAAGGATCTTAGTAGAGAAACACTCATCCACATGTGGCAGAGAGAACGGGAAGATGCGGACACCGACAAGACTACCTTCAAGTTCCTACCTAACATTCCCACCCGTCTCTCTCTCAACCACATATCTAGCAACTACTTCATCAGCCAACTCATTACTGGCCATGGGAACTTTCGCCAGTACCTCAATAGATTCCACCACAGCGATATCCCCTTCTCCCAGTGCGACAGCGGTGCTATAGAGGATCCTCAGCACTTCATCTTCGAGTGCAACCTCTAGTGCAACAGAGGACTCAACTTATACATAAGGTCCTCATTGAAGACTTCAACTGGCCATGCACGCCCGCGTACATGGCCAGTCTCTTCATCAACAACAGTGCCACTTACAACAGGATTACTGAATTTATTCGGGAAACCGGCGCTTTGGACCCAGACTTCACTAACAGAAATCAAGCAAAAGACTCTTGGAAGCACAGGTGATTTCTACACCAGCTTCTTCGGCAATATTGGCAAGGTCAGCATAAGACACTAATTCTAATCATCCTCATCGCCTCTTCTCTAACGCGGCTTTTCAAATGGACTTTGTTCACGTGATTGGAACGGGTGCTCAGTGTTGTTTTCGCCTGTTACATTGAATCCTTTGTAAATAGCAACGCGACTTATTAGTTATAAATTATGTTTTGTGTCCCGCCATATTTACGCTTGTACGCCGACGACATTCAGCAACTACTACTCTTGTGTAATCAGTACTTGTAGGTACTCGTAACCCCGCCCGTTTAAAGTAAACAAAATGTGACAGGACAGTTTCTATATTATCGGTCCCGGGATCATGCCAAATTTACCATCCGTTCCTGAACAATTTAATATAACTCTAACCTGTAACTTGCATCTAGCTGATGCATTTGCTCTGTAACTACACTTTCTGTAAAGGGTAAACGAAACCCTCGCGGTACCCTACCTGTATAATGTCCGGCTCTATATAACTGTCGCGATCCAACGTTATTTTATAATCGACGCTGTTCCGTGTCAATGGATCCGGTAATGAAACCTTACGGTCACTATGCAACCTGCTGGTAAATGTAACGCTCTATCTGTGGTCGCACCTCTTTGCCCATGTATCACCACTCCTAAACACCATTTGTCATCATATTCAACACTCGTATTTGTAGCTGTTCAGTTATCACATACCTTTTCGTACATATGTAACGCGCCATAGCTATTTGTACACTTATTCTTTCTGTAACCTGTACACGTATTATTCTATTCAAATTAATTGCGATAGTCGCGCTTACGATCTCTCCCATCTTCACTATCTTTCTTACCCTTTCCCCTTCTTTCTTTCCTTTTACACCCCAGGCGATACCTCCGAGTAGTCCTGGTTTTCCACCCTATTCATGATGTAATACGGTACCATCGACCAATCGGAAGTCGGTGGAATCTACGTCATAACGACACGGTGAGAAAATTGGCGGGAAATAAGCTTTTACGTACGTTCTCGTGTTATTTCATAAAGACCTATAGTAGATGTGGAAAGATTTATCGAACACGTTCAATCAAGAAGCATCCCTATTATAAGAATGGATGCCTAGAATCAGCGACATGAACGGCCATAGGAAAGTCCTTCAATTTTGCTGATTATATATACAGTAATAAAAAAAAAGCTAAGCATAATAACGCGAAGTATATAACCGCACCGTGGGCGTAAAAACTTCGCTAGCGGAGCGGGTCCTCCACCCGAATCCGAATAAAAACGTATATAAGTCACGTGATTAAAAGTAATTACGTCAAGAATTTTTACAAAAGTGGAATCGCGCCCAGAACAAATACGCGGGTAGCAGTTACGCCATCTGTCGTTAATTTCTGTATCGGCTTTAAATTTAGTATTATTCTACTTTAAATTAATCGCGGTATTAAAATCGTAGATTTCTTTAAATTTGCTTCCGTTTGGGGTATAGACTTGGTGGAATACGCGTACATTTGATTACGTTCTTAAAATGTTTACGGAAGTGTGTCAGTGGAACCGCTGCTATTGATTTAGTGACACATGGCCCAGTTAGCGGAATAGAGGAGAGACTTATCTTCGGGTCGTATCGGCTATCACATGTTACGCTGCCAATCGTAATATAAAGATTGCGTACGTCGAGAGAAAATCTGCTTTGATTTAAGGACCGAGAGAAGAAAACATTCGAAATGGGAATCAATCGGCAATTTGTTAATATTATAATTCTAGGTTTTGCATTTATGTTCGTATTCACCGCATTTCAAACCGGAAGCATGATTCAGGTACGAAGTTACTTCGGACGTTTCTTTAGATAATTCCGTGAAGATGCTCGGCTCATCAAATATTCTAAAATTTGGCAAAAAAAAAAAACGGTTAAAGTTTTCGTACTTTGGAGTGAACGTTCGTTTACGTTAATAATAGTTGTTACCGTAGTTACCTTTTGATTGTTTGGGTCCGTGTAACGGAGGTTTCGTCGGAAGTAAACGTTCTCTGTACCGTGGACGGTCGACGGACGTGTCGCCGTTGATTAATTAGTTCGAGGTTATATGGAAATTTACGTTTCGTAGGTAACGTGAGATTGCCCGTGACATTTAATATATGTGTTTGTTTGACGAGGATGCTTGCCGGTGGCTAGATCGTTGGCGATGTTTTTACGATTATCGATCCGGCCCGTCGATTGTCTGGCCCACTTTTGCTGCCCCGCTTCTCTTTCCGTGAAATCGTTGGCTGTGCCTCGGTATTTTGGTAGTACGGAGGCGCGTTCTCTTTGTTTCCGATCCGTTCGAGACCGACATTGGCACGGGATGGACGCCTCTGGAGAGACCGGAGAGTCTGGCAGACGGGAAGAGTTCCGTCTTCGATGGACGCTGTCCGCCTGTTCAGAGACGGAAGACTGCCTCCCGCGTCCCGCCGGTCTTGGGATCCGTCTGGAGGAGATTGGAACTCTACGGAGCCGACCGGAGGACCGTCGGCATAAACTGCCGGGTGCGGAAGGTGTCTTGGATGCCCAGAAGTCCCATTTAGAAATTCGACGACGATGTCGTCTTTGGTACGCTCGGTCTCTTTTGCTCCGTCTATATTCTGTCTTTCAAAATTTGTAAATTCCGTTTTATGTTCCGTGTTCAAACGCGTAAACCTGACGATGGGCATCAAATGTGGTTGAAAGTGTTTGTTGGCGATTAGATTAAAGTTTTCTTCATTTTTTGAGATGTTTCTTTTACTGGGTTTTGTTCCTCCGTGTGTCGGCATGCCGTGTCGTTTGAATTTGGACCCATACGCTCTCCTAACCTGGCACATTTTTTAATCTAATTAATTAGTAATGTGATATTGTCTTTGATCAATGCTAAATGTACACCGCATTGCTGTTTATGAAATTTTTATATCATATTTTTCTTGGAGATGAAAAAAAATAGGTGTCGAAATAGCTTCGAAATGGAACTGAATCGAATCAAACTGATGGTAATTATCAGATAAAAAGAGTGACTCAGAATTTTATATGCGAGATTTGACTTTTGGATTTTGGAGTTGGTCCGACCCACGTTTATATAAATCTGTTTCTTGTCTTGTTTATAGAAGCCCTCAAGTAGTCGAGTGGATAAATTGCCAAACGTCAGTAGTCAGTCACGAGTTTGCACTGACGGCCAGAAAACTCCATGTCGCGTTGTGACCATACACATGGAGTTTTCTGGTTTTCCTTTGTCTGTCTAGCACATAAATAGGAGCTAGTTTTCTGTAGAAAGTCTTGGGCACGACCGTGCATTATGTTGCCTTATCCAATTAAACCAAACCGTTTTATAGAAATATATTTAATTGCTTAATCTATTGTTTATTTGATTGTTATATCCATTAGTCCATTAATTTTTGATTTTGATTATTAATTAGATATTACATATTTTAATTTCTAAAAAACACTTTTGATAGCTTAGCATTGCAGTATTTACAGGATGATTGTTATACAATTTGATATTTATCTAATAAATTAAGTAAATATTCAGAGAAAAATTAGAAATTAAAGAAGTAATATTTTTGCTGGTAAAAATATTATATTGTATAAATTTTAAACATTTCAGAATATAATGTAAAAACCAGTTTGAGACTATATAGAGAATTAATCTCTTTATAGTTTTCTTTTTATATTTATTTTTAAGAAAGATTTACATCATCTACTGTTATAAAAATTAACACAATATTTCTTCATACCAGCTTAAATAAACAAAAAATTTAGTTTCTTATTTAAAACATAGTGTTTCCTGTTCATATTTCAGAAAATATACTCATAATATTGAAAAACACTTTTTTTCTGATTACTTATACTTGTGACAAGAAGTAATTTGACTTTCATTAATTGCATATTTTATCTCATTTTCATTCTATTGATGTTACATATGTTTCAATGATAGCATTATCAGAAAATATGTATTTTTTTTTTGTGTTTTTGAGTTTGTTACCTACAATGATGTATCAATAATTTATGAAACTCCCAAATAACAGAACAGCCTCAAGTCATGAGAACAAAACAGCAAGAATATTTTATGTTTTGCTTCTATCTGATGAATGGTAGAGCCGTTTAAAAATAAATTAACATTTAAACAAATATAATTATTTATTAGTCGAAGAGAATGCTTAATTTTATAACAGTTGAATAATAACAATATTAATTAAACGAAATATAGTATTATGACGTTATTTTTTAAAATTTTTTCAGTTTGTTGTATTTATGTATCAATTTTAAAAAAATATTTTGTTAATTACATTAAAATTTATAATTATAATATTGTTAAGTTAATTTTATTCACATCTGTATATTTAAATTTAAAATATTTATAATTCAATAGGCATAAGAGACAGGTATTTGCATATTATAAAAATAAAATAAGCTAAATATATCTATCCTGAAATGTATTTTGAAAATAAGAAACTAAGACACAATTTTTATTTTCATTTTCTCTTTTTTAATTGTTTTATTTTTTGTATTATTTGATAAATTATGATTTTCAATTAATTATTATATTTACTTTTTTTTTTTTTTGAAAGGAAAAATTCTTATTGAAGAAATTAAATATAAATTGTAGTGATATATACTTTAAGAAACTGATTTTTTGAACAGTTTTGTTTTGTGACCTGTTATAATATAGGAAGTTGATTATCTTCCAACTTTGTAACCAGTTTGGTCTTTGACCCTCCTAATCACAAACCTTTATTTTAAGAAAACATTTTTAATATTTTAAATAATTTAGGTTAAATAATTTTAATACAATTGCTCTTATTCAAATGTAATATATCAATAAAATTAAAAACAATGTTTTTTTTTATAAAATATTTTTTAAGGATGTCTGTTTAAATGATATAAAGTGTAAAATAACTGGCATAATCTATCAAAAACTCATACAGAAAATATCTTTTCTCTTCCCCGCAGTATTTTAATAAAAACTAACATTTTCGGTCTCAGGTTCCATAATCTAAATGTGGAATGTTTAACAGTCTAAACAAATATATTTGAAAAAAGATTCTAAAAATTTAAAAATTTTAGATAACATTTAAATTGGTGTTTCAAATAATTAAATGAAAAGTAATAAATTAAATACAAACTATAAAAAACAAAATATAAAAAGTACATAAAATATAATTCTGTTTAAGATTCACCCAGTGATATGTGTATATAAGAAACCTTTCACAGAACTGTAATAACTTCTCAACCATCATAACATGACATTGTTTAAATTAAATATTACAAATATAGAATATTTTATTAATTTAATTTTTAATTTAAACCAATCAGCATTTTGTGTTTGGAAAATTATTTGTTACATTCGATTTTTAATAATATGACATACTATGTGATATTGTTTAGGACCTCCAAATGTATGATAGGGAGTCTGCAGAGTGACTGCCATGACTCTCAGTAAACTAAAAACACACAATATAACATCTTAAAAAATATATAAAAAATGGCAAAACTTTATTGTATACACCAGCTGCAAGTACCTGTATGAGAAAAAAATCAATGTTACCCAACAATCGGTTAAAAATATTAACTTACAAAACAAAAAGTGTTATAAAAGTATTGCATAAAAGCGTTAAATATCCCTGACAAAAAGTAACAATAAAACTATGATTTAAGGATATTTCCATATTGCTTCTTGATTGGTGTCTTCTTTTCTGATTTGCTTCTTTTTTATCAAAATATCATTGGCTGTGTGATTAATTCTTACTCAGAACTATCCAGCAATTCTATCTCAGAACTTTTAATATTGATATTTCATATCAATATTAAAAATCATCCCAGAAACATGTTTGTCCTGCATTTTCCTGATTCAGAAACACAAATATTTGTGCCTAGAGCTTATCACTTATAATTTACGAGTTGAGCAAAGAATGTCAGATGCCTGATTGTGATAAGTGATTGCAGCAGCAACGTGCTCTCACTCATACTTATTGCTCTATTACATAGTCTTTGGGCTGCAATTTGAAAAAAATTGTAGACCTATAAATTCCCATTGTCCTTAATTTCGAGAACAGAATTAGATAAATGAAATCTGAGACCAGATAAACCTTAGGGGCAGGAGGCTCCACTTAACTATATAAAAACTTTTGATGCAAACCGGAAATCACATTATTTCAATTCAGAACTTCCTCCTGGAAGGTATTAGATGATCGGCACAACTCTATTGTTAAAGGAAAAATATGATGTACAGGGGCAAACTACTACTAATTTGAGGTGGAGAGCATATATTTTAAATTAAATTAAAAATATGATTAAAAATTGCAGCCCAGCATTGTGACAATGTCACAAAAAATAATTACTTGTTTTCTTTTGCTTCAGTCAGCTTCAAGTCATTAAAAAGTTGGCAATCTTATGCAAATACAGACTTTTGTGATAAATTGCCTAAATAAATATTACAAATAAATTTTAATAATTAGTTCACTGAACTAAAGATATTTTAGGAAACAGTTCTGTTCTGCCAAATAAGTGTGGACTGGCGAAATCCCACTACCTATTACAGTTTTGTACCAAATGCTGTTGGTTTGCCATTGAAACCTTGCATCAAAATCCATTTATCAATACAGTATATTAACAATATTTTGATTGGGATACAAGGGATTGCCTTGACAATGCTTTCAAAAACATCATAAACTGTGTACAATTTTGTAGTCATTCTATAAATAAATTCTTGAGAAATTGCTTGATAATGGGAAATTTACAGAAAAATTTGCAAAAATTGGATATTAAACTCATTAACTTAAAGTCAGGAGTTGTTTATTCCTTAAACTTCAACTTAAT